CTTGCCCTTCAGACACGTGATGTACCTGTTGCAGAAGTCCTTGCACAGCTCCTGCACCTTCTCCAGCTCCAGAAGGTGAATACGCAGCACCTGTATCGCCTTGATCATCTGCAAGAAACGCGTCCCCGTGGAAACGCCTTTAAACGTTCAGCCGATCGTCATCTCTCGCCACCTCTCTCGCTCATTTGTTTCCGATCTCGACTCAGGGCCGGAGCACAATACAAAGGTACAGGCAAATAAAAACAAGGAATAACGCAAGCAATAGGATTTTCAACCTATCGGAAGCCGTGTATCAATGCCATAGACTGAGCATTCTCTTTGGAGAGTTTCCGGCAAGATCTGAAGGACAGGAGATATGCTTGCAGTGCCGCTTTCCTTTTCTAATTGTCACAATTATATCTTTATTAATATATATCTTCTGTCCTTCAGATCTAGCCGGAAGCTCTCTAATGGTAATGTTTAGTTTTGCATATATGATCAATGCATTCTGTGTTCCTATTCCCTGTACTTTTGTATTGTGTTCCGGTCCTCACAACCGCGCGTGCGGGGAAAGACAGGAAGAGGAGACGAGCGGGAGTTTCGGTGAGGTGTTTCGATCTTACCAAACCGTCAATCTCGGGGTCATTGATCAGAAAGGGCTTTCGGTCTCTTTCTTGGTGCTGGACGAAAGCCTGTATATCCATGTTGAAGCTTTCGGACGTGGAGTTGTCCGAGCTCTGGGTCGCCTGTTCGCATCTTTCGAAGAGTAACGCCAGTAGCGGGAAGAGCGGATGTTTGTACACGGCCCTCTTGTCCGCCTCGAACTGGGCCTGATCCTGATGAGTCGTATAGTCGGCGACCCCACTCGCTGGGTCCTGGTCGTATCCGGGGGTCACCATCGCTAGCGCAACGGCGGTATTACCCTCTTGCATCCTATCACAGACAACATCGCCGGAATCGTCATACTCCACGATCCCTTTAATCGATCCCTTAGATCGATCGCACCTTAAAACGGAGCCCTCTTACCTATCATTCCCCCTTGGCGATCCTCATTTTCGTCTGGATCCTTCGCGACTCGTTCCCTCTGCGCCTCGGGTCCGACCACTTGTTTAACCCGCTGGTCAAATCCCGTTGAACCGGAGGATGCTTTGGGAAGAAGCAAAATCGCGATAAGACGACTGACTTTGTTTACGACGCTCCGTTAATTCCTAATTATCGGTCGCTAAAAACGGTCGCTCCGCGGAAATTCGTAAGGCACAAGGCGAGAGAACGCGCGAGAAAGTGAAAAATCGATAAAGAGAAAAAAAAGAGAAAAAGAGAGAAGAGAAAGAAAAACGTCGCGTCCCGCCGCGCCGCGCGCGAACAATCGAACGATGCGGCACCGCATTTAAATGTCATCATTAGACAGCATCGGCGCCATCGGCGCCCAGGGCTCCCATCGATTTTGGAACGCGGCGTGTGTCTTTCCCGACGCGAGTTAAATAGCGCCAGCGAAAGAAAAAAAAAAGACGAAAAGGAGACAATTCGGAGAAACGCGCGCGGGTGAGAAATCCCGTCGGGAGCTCCAGCCAGCTTCCGCAAAACTGGCGGCGAGCGGCGAGGTACAAGGGGCAAAGTCGCGGCCACGAGGTCGTCTTACGTAAGGGAGAATGTTTTTTTTCTCTCTCTCTCTCTCTCCCTCCCCGAGATCACCGCGCGTCTCCGCACTCGTCCCGTCTCGAGAGATTCCGAGAGAGGCGGCCGTCGGAGCCGGGAGCGAATCTCATCGCGGAGAGACGACGGGACGGAGGGTCCGCGATTTTCCCCTCGGCACGTGGGGTTCGCCGCTCCGAAAACGGCAGAGGCACCGACCGGCCACTGTTTACTGCCCGTCGATCATCGGCCGCGAGTCTAACCTGCGCGACTCGCGCGGCGAGAGGGCACGTCGCCGCGCAGATAAGCGGCCGCAGTTAAAACACGCCCTGCGAGCGTTACACTTTACAAACGGGAGGCGGACCGCGCCTCCGCCTCCTCCACCTCCACCTCTCCTTCCCCTCTTCCACCTCGCGCTTCTTTTCCCGGCCTGTCATTGCTCGTTCGATAAAGTCGAAGGGTGATCGCCGCCGCGCGCCCTCCGGAGAAGGCCGTGTCGCGATTAGGGACGAGACACGCGGCGACAGCGTCGTCGTCGCGCTCTCTTTTCTCTCTCTCTCTCTCTCTTTCTTTCTCGCTTTCTCGGCCCTGTCTCGCCTCTCGAAAGATCATAGTGATCGCACGAGCGACCGAAATATTATGAGTCTGTTTTCTATTACTGAACCGGCTGCCACTAGTTCGGAGTTAATCTTTTTTTTACTCCACATTCAGGCAATAGAAAACAGACCCTATTATATCAGCTGATCGTCTCGCAACGGTATCGAAATGCGCTGTTCCATATCTCGCGTCTCCGGGCGCCTCCAAACTCTCGCAAAGTATTCCGGGATCAGCGTCGTCTCGTAGATGACGCTTGTTTACGTCGCACGCTTTTCTCCCCCACCCACCCTCCCGCCCCGAGAAACGAAGCTGCGCGCTTCCGCGAAGGATCCGCGAGGCGGCCCACCTTTTTCGTACAAAAATGTCGGACGGCGAGCGAGCCGAAGGGCGATGGGCGATGATTATCGGCGATTGTCGGAATCCACCGTCGGATTCGGAGCGCGTTCTCGCTCCGGAGGGATCCGATCATGGATTTTCAGCTCCTCGGCTCCGCGTGTTGCGTCGCGCAACGTGAAATCCGACGACCGAGAATCCGCGTCCGCGTATCTTCCGCGCGAACACGAAAAACACGCGCGAGCGACATTCGCGACGACGCTGATCCGCGAGGACGCGCGATCGAGAGCTCGAAGAACGAAAATAAACGATCGCGACGACGATGGTTGTCGACGTCGCCCGCGCGACATTCACGAGGACACCGATCCTCGCGACGAGCCCCGATCTCGTGTCCCGTCGAGAAAAATGGGCGTTTACGGCCGCCGCTTTGGGGAAACGGACTCTGGCCGAACCTAACCTCCTCGCCGCCGCCGCCGTCGTATGGAAGACGCAGAAGCGAACGCCGAGCGAACGAATCGACGACCGTCCTGACCGCGGGCTGATCGCGAGAACACGCAGATCAGTTCGGTGCTTACCAGCTTACCGTGAGACTCTCGTAGCGTCGATCCACCTAGAAGCGGCGCGCGGCCCTCGCTCGTTTTGTTTTTCACGCGACTACGCGCGGCGCGATCGAACCGTCATAGTCGTCCGGAGTGGTCCGGAGCCCCGACGGGCCATAACAGGCATCGACGGGACGGGGGAGGAGCCCCCCGTGTTTCGCTCCGTGCACGTGCCCGGGGGAGAAGAATGCACGTACGCACGCACGCACGCAGTCACGTCGCATGCACGCACTTGATCGCTCGCGATCCCGGAGAGAGAGATCGACCGAAAAAATCGCCAGTGCCCGACGTGCACCGGTGTCCGATCCTGCGCGCGTAGCGCCGGTGACTCACGACTCACGCCGCTGATCGCGCGAGTACCGTTCGCCGCACGTTCACGTAGACGATAAATCCCGGTAGCCGGACATTTTTTCGCACAAACGCCACTACTCCGTTCACCCCGTCCACTCCTTTCCACTGGCTCCCGTCTTTTGTGACGTCACCGATTCAATACTTTTCGCGAAGGTTTCTCGCCGCGGCGGCGCCGTCGAGGTATGCCGGCTGCCCGTCGGATGGCGCCACGTAATCCGTTTTTTTTTTTACTTGTTTGCACTTTTTTACACTATTTTGCACGTTTCTGCACTTTCCACTTTTCGATTCCCTTCTAATTTTAAATTGTCATCATCGGATCAATACCTCTTTACGACTATACGTTTACATGGCGGCTTGTAATCCGGTTTAAACTTATTTCGCCTGACACTCGGCTCCAGATTGTAGTTCCGTGCAATCAGTGCGGATAAAATGTAACTAATTGCGGATAGAAATCAGCGAAATGAACGTAAAAAAAGTTGAACCACCAATCACGAGGGTATTACCAATTCCGCATTGTGCATACGTTCCATACCATGGAATCGCACCATTTCAAAAATCTTAAAAGTCTATATAGTTATTCTTTTTGACGTTCCCACATTTCTGTAGCACTCTCACGATCGGCTGCGTTCACATCCATAACGCTCGGCGCATCCAACATTTAAATATATGTGCACTTCTACAAAACATTTAAATAACAATAAATTATGAAATTAACATTTTATAAATTCTAACTATCTAAATTTTTACAAGTTTTTTTAACAACTTGTTTATCGATCGATGACGCGGGAGAAAATAAATTTAAATTTCTTTCGCTCACGTTTTAGATGATGCCGGCGGTCGCTAAATGAATAATCTTCCGATCGCCCCAGGTTCCGCCGCGCGACCGCAGATGTCGCTACTGTGGCTATCGAGGCGGCGTGTCGCGCTCTCGATAACGATCGATCGCGTTCGGCCCCCGCGTTTCAAACTGGCTCTCCGATTCCGACCGGCGCCGCGGCGATTAGCTAAGAGCCTCCGCACAAGACTCTCGTTATGATAACGTACCTTAACGCAACGTGTATCAACGCACAAGAAACGTATCGGTTACGGCGTTATACGTCAATACGTTTCTTGATCTACGTTATTACGTTCCCATAATACGAAAGTTTTGTGCGGAGGCTCTATACTAACTCGGACAGCCACTTGAAAAAATTCACGCTTCAACACACGATATCTTCTCCTACAATGACACGTTGCGCGTTTTGCGCAGCAAAATTCTCTACTTTCGATTTCGTGAGATTTCTTACAATGCGCGCGGGTGAGATGCTAAAACACGTCGCCTGCGAAATATCGCGATTTGAATTCGAAATTACGTCTCGAGATCGAATCGGCTCGTGGTTTAGAGCGGGATTATCATCAGCTAACGCCGCGTTTCTCAGCGCTTCTCCAGCTCGTCTCGAGCGATGAGTAATTAAACGAGCGATGTTATCTTATCGCGCTTACACCTTGTTATCGTATACGCGAAGCGTCAGATACGGTCGGATATATTCAATTTCAGTCGACACCGCGAGGAAGCTCAGAAAGTCGTGAGCTTATTCTACGCGTCAGGATGGACCTGCGACTGTCGGTGCCCCTGCTCGCGGTAATCCTTCTCGCGAGGTGCGAGAGCCGGGAAACGCCGGGAAACGCGACGACCATAGTTCCGAGTGTGATTAAAGCGGACAACGTGACGTCGGGACCCGAAAGTATATGTGCCGTGTGTTCTTGTACAGGTAGAGTGTCGCAATTCAATATACTATCTAGCTCGATCGAAGGCGAGCCAACGCTTGATAACGCGCTCATCGTGGTAACATGTGTGGCAAAGTTTTCTCTTCGAATCACAAAAATTCACGGGACGCTCAATAGTTAATATCCATTTCCAATATGTATGTTAACTCTATAATCTCGGGTTATAAACTCTTCATCCTTTTCTAGCTCGAAGAATAACTTTAATCTCTTTATCTTTATCTTTTCGAAGAATATTCTTTATCTTTTTTTTTCATAATTATTAGAACTGGAGGAAGATAGAAAAGTAAATTAAGCTAATTTTAAAACTAAAATGTCTAATGTCCATTTCTACCAATGTAGGTAAACTTTAATCTCGGTTTAACATTACTTTTTTTTCTAGTTCTAAGAATTAGAAAAAAAAAGGTAAAAAGTAAGTTAAATCGAGATTAAAATTAATCTACAAAAGTAAGTTAAATCGAGATTAAAATTAATCTACATTGGTAGAAATGGACATTATTATAGACATTTCAGTTTTAAGATTAGCTTAACTTACTTTCTATCCTCTTCCAGTTCTAAGAATTATTTAAAACAAATAAAAAAGTAAAGTTAAACTATGTGTGAGATTAAAGCTAATCTGCATCGATAGACATATGAGAGTAACGCACTCCTTTTTAGATAGTTACGTGGACTGCAGCAATCGCAGCTTGGAGACGCACTTCGAGAAGGAGCAATGGTCGAACGTGACGGCGAAGGTAATCTCGTTCGAGCATAATTGCCTGGTGCACGTCACGCCCTTCCCGCGGATAGCCGTCGGGAAACTGATCCTGCGAAAGAATCGTATCGTGAAAATCGACTATCGCGCCTTCAAGGAGCTCGTTAATCTCACCGAATTGGACCTGAGTCATAACCAGCTCACGTCGGAGCAGCTGCAGCCGCACGTCTTCGAGGTAATCGGAACGATATCTTCGCGCGAGTTAACGCGCGTTAGGCCGATCAAAAGGCGCGGAGCGAACGTGGCTCGCCTCCAATTCGTGATTCATCGATCGACGAGAGAGATTTTGACGCTCCGCGATTCCGGACACTTAACCGGACTCCTTTCCCATTTCGACTGTAGCCACACACGGCCGCGTATTTAGAATTTAAAAGACATTACTGTCATCTAAATTTTCATATTAGCGAATATACATTAGTTCCCTTCGTCTTAGATAGATAACTATATACTCCGTCCAACGAGAGATCATGGCTGATCAAACAACGATGAATAACGATAGGGCACAGAGCCGCAGCAAGGTGTTCGCGTTAAATTATTTTTATTTTTAATAAATATTGTCCAACACTATTAAAAGTAAAAATAATTTAACGCGCACACCTTGTTGCGGCTCTGTGCCCTATCGTTATATTTATGTTTGATCAACCATGATTTCTCGTTGGATGAGGTATAGAAACTTCGTATACTTATAGATAATAGATAGCACGTATCTCGATATGTATTTGAATAACTTTTTAGGTGTTATCACATCTTTCATTTGTTACCGCTACGGTTCGGTGATAAGAATTATTATAAGTTCAAGCTAATATTTCAAGAAAGTTATAATTTTATACAAAGCTCGTAAAACTATAACTTCCTCGAAATATTTCGAGTGAATTTACTGACCAAAAGTAAGAAAAGAAGTATAAAGAGTTATTGCGCACAAATTTCATTGTGTACAATAATTTCGCAATGCAAATTATTATACACAATTGCAATAAAAGTGACGCATAAAGTCCTTAACTGTTTTCAAAATGTCAAAATGTTGTTATGAATCGCTCATTTGTCATAAAATATGCATAAAGGTACAAATATATTTTTATAGCCGTTAAATAGTTTGGATATGAAAGGATTTATCGTAGAACGCTCTATCGCTTGGAGATACATAATCGATCAACATTTCGGCGAAACTGTCCTGATTTTATTCCAACCGAAAATTACCGTCGCGCATTGATCGTTTGTTCGGCTCGCGAGCGATAGAAAATAACGAGAGAGGAATAAGCTAAAAAGAATATCTGTCTTCGTTCAACTTGTACAGATAAAGCGAATTCGCGGAAAAATTTATTTCACAGAGTGCCGAATTCCCAGCATTCTCTGAATTCGATGGTTTTTTTAGAATTGATACGGCAGTGAAACGTTTCATGATGATAAGATTACCGATTGATGAGCCTTATGTGGCTCATGACTACGCTATCCTTGCATCGCGGTATTTAACTCTCTTCTCAGATAAATCGTTTATGTTCATTTGTACTAACGCAGACTTTAATCTTGATTTATTACTTTTTATCTTTTTCTAGTTCTAAGAATTAGATAAAAATATAAAGTAATTTAAATTACTTAAGGTTAATCTGCATTGATGAAAATGGACATTACTCGTTCACACCTTGTTTAAAACTTTCGCTTCCTCGTTTATAAAGGAATCTTGCGACTTTTATTCCGCTCAAATTGATTACCACATGTTTTCTGTTTTCCTATTTGTTTATTATGAATGACGTTATTCCTGATCGTTTCAGGGAAGGTTCTCGCCAGAAGCGTACGAGCCTCTGACCCTGAAAATCTTGGACCTTAGTGGTAACGTACTCCACTGGTTACATCAGAGCATATTTGAGCACCTTGCCGACCTTAAGGTGCTAAAGCTAGCGGAAAATCCCTTTGGCGTATTCGACTATCGTACATCCATAGCGATCAGCAGCGTGTCGTACTTGGAAGAGTTGGACATCAGTTATTGCCAGCTGAGAGAACTGCCGAGCGTTCAGTTCCACAATGCGAAGTAAGAGACAGAGAAATATATGCGACGATTACAGTTTTGATGCGGTTACGTTTACGTCGCCCGAGATCGGGTTTCCTGAGATCTTTCCGTTGCTCTTCCGTAGGAATTTGAAGAAGCTGAACCTGACCGGCAATAAGCTCACAGTTCCGCCCAGAGCCTTAGAGGAAGCCAAGACCTTGGAGTACCTTAGCTTGGATGGCAATTCGATACGCACTATCAATCTCGCGAACGCCTTTCCCAAACTGCCAAAACTGAAGGAACTCAGTATGCGCGAGATGCCGAATCTGACAGAGATTGGATTCGGCGGGTTGTCGGCGTTGACTAGCCTGGAGAGTCTCCAGTTGCAAAATTGCAAGAAATTACAGCGTATCGATGAGTACGCGATGGCGTCCAAGGTACGTCGGACATACGAAAGCCGACGGTAAATGCATCGTCGACAACGGTTATAATTTACTGCGTTACTGCTTCGTAGACCGCCGAGGGCACGATATGGCCGCCGTTGAAAAAGCTGAACGTGGCGTCCAACGCTCTCCGGTACCTGCCGATGTTGCTCATCGGGAGATGGGACAAGCTCGACGAATTGCGCCTGACGAACAACCAGTGGAGCTGCGATTGCCGTAATCAATATCTGGTAAGTTCCGACAATCGAGGGACGCGCAAGCTGTCGGGGGAGGAAAAAAATGAGTAAAGAGGCTCGGATCTCGCTCGTTGCGATCGGATCGAATACGACAATAACTAACGGATTATCTCTTGCAGATCGGGAACGTGTTGCCGGAATACGGCGAGGCGCTAATGGGCGAGGAAACCGAGAAGCTCAACTGTTCCGCACCGCCGGAACATGAGGGAAAGAAGCTCACGTCCTTGGCTGACCGACATCTACGCTGCTTGGATTTGTGGAACGCGAGACCGGAAAGGGATGCCGCGATCCTCGTGGGAGTGCTAATCGGTCTACTCGTCGCGATCCCAATCGGCATGGCGTTCTTCGTCTTCTGGCGACGCGGCTTCTTCTTCTGCGGGTCGCAAGGTCCTGCCACCTTCTCCCGTGCATTCTATAAACGCGCGTCCAACGACGATGACATTTAACAACATATGTGTATATATATTGTTTTTAACGCAGTTGCATCTCTTTGCTACTTACTCTTGCTTCTTTTAACATTAAGCAGACATCAAGAAACAACGAGGTACAAAGAGATATAGTGTTTAGATTGCAACAGGATCCGCAAATATCGGATGACGCATCGAATACATCTAGTCTAAGCTTCATCAAATATGTACGGCGTATCTTTTATACGTTTTGTTAAGATATCGTAAAGCGCAATGCGCTATATCGTCGCGTGAGCGAGTTAGGTGTACATTTCTCCTGTTCGAAAAAGCGCATCATTGTAAAGCGCAGCCCGTCGCGCTTTGGGCTGTACGACACGTATCACAATAAACACAAAACTTGAAAATTAATGCGTGCCTCCCGTTGCTCTCGCGTTGTCTAACGAGTCCCCGGAGGATTCACGAGTCTCGGCGAAGGACGTTCTCGAGCCGCGGCCGGAACCCCGGACGATGGATTTTCGGCTTTACAGGCAGAGCCGCGCAGAGGGCGGCTCTCTCTCTCTCTCTCTCTTTCTCTCTCAGCGCAAATGCGTGGAGGGTGCGAGGTGAGGCGAGAGTTACGCGACGCCGAGCGACGCTGGGCGACGCGGGCGGACGCACACGGACGGATGGACACGCGCCGGTAACGCAATTACCGCGACGTTAATTTACTCAATAATCGCAGAAGCAACCCCGTCTAAATGTCGGCACGCGTCCCTCGACCCTAATCATAGCCGGCCGTCGTCACGCCAGCAGAGTACGAAGAGAGATCATCGGAGATACACGAAAAGCCGTCGAGAGATTAACGTTAAAACTGTTAAAGTGCAAGATTCTTCTTATCTCCTTTCTTTTCCTCTTTTCTTCGCTCTTTTCTTTTCTTTCCCTCTTCTTTTTTTTAACACTAGAATAACCAACCCGATTAAGGTGCTTTTGTTGGAATTCATATCGACTTTTGTCAAGATAAAAAAATTATTATAATATATATATTCTAATTTATTCTCTACCACTCTAATTTTAAAGTTCTGTATAGAACGTCTACATATATCATAATAATGTTATAAGGTGTCTAGTGTTAAGACGTTTACGTTGCCCTCAACACGGAAAAAGCGCGCATCCCGCTTATCCCAACCGGATGACGATTTCCGAAGGACGCGTCGGTATCGCGTCTTTCCGTCGAATTTACGCTTTCAGAAACCTCGTACTTTGTTTATTGCTCGGGTATGGAGATATGATGTAGTCATCTCGTCAAGCGCCGCACACGCTCGTACCGCGCCATTTGGAAAGCGCCCCCGTATACACGATCCGCTAAGTAATTTAATCCCGCGTTTCCGCCCGTCCTCTCTCGTCCAAGATTCAATACCGATACGGCGCGGCGCGAGGCGGGGTATTCGCGGATCGTACGAGGAACCTGATTACGTGGGATGCAGGGGAGCGCGACGAATCGAGATCGAGACGATGCTGCGCGTAAGAAGATGATCGTTTCGGTTGTCCCGAGGGGGGAGTATCGAAGGGGGGGAGGGACACTTTCGAAATTAGAGCCTTATCTACGAGACTGGGGAGAATTGGTTTTCAATAAATACTCGCAACCAGGAATCGTCGCGCGTCGCGCACGTATAACGGACGGCTACGCTGCGTTGCGCCGGGGGTGGCTGAGCGCGAGGGTTTTCGTAACGTACTCTTACATATAGATGCTTGCACTTCGCATTATTATCTTCGTGTGAGAGCGTGACAGAATGGAGAGGAATCGCGAATACAGAAGGATCCATCCCTCCCGTTCCTCCTGCTCCTCCATCGTTGCCGCCACCGCCACTGCCGCCTCCTCGTACGCCGTTGAATTCACGAGTACCCGAGCGCGGTGTCCATGGAAACGAGTGGCCGAGTCCCGCCCCCGGGACCTTCGCGGAGCCAACCCGGGCGACGGCGAGCGTCGCGACGCCGGCCAATGCGGGCGCCAGGCCCTCGGATTCAAGCGTCACCCTTCCACGGAGATACGGGGGCCGCCGCGGTACGCTAACTAGCGGGAGGGGCTGCCGATGATCGCGTCGCGGGGGGTTGAATCGCCCTGAATCGCGCCGCGCTCACCTCTATACGCGCCCTGAACGACGACGAAGGACTCGGTGAACGACGGCGAAAGACAGTGAGCGACAGACGGCGTCTCGCACGGATTCGTACCCGATCCGTGGCAGGATCCGCGACGATCAATCACGATTCCGTCGGGCGGATGAACTCGCGAGACGAACGACGTCCGATTAGCTGAGCCAAGTGGTCGCCGATCCGCGGAAGAGAAAAGTGACCGGTTTCGAGAGTGAGCCCCGCGAGATTACCGTCTTCGTGCGGCGTCGGACCTCCGTTGTAAACACGCGCGCACGCGGAGACGGATCGAGAGATCCCCTTGGCGTGAAAAACGGGACACGGCGAGGATCTCGCGACCTTGGCGTCGCGCCAGGGCGCCCGGGCGAGGATGTAACCTGCGGGGCATGCCCCGCGTCGTAGCCGCAACGCAGTGTCGAACGAGGAAAGATGCAGTCGACCTGCCAGCAGCAACAAGCTCAGCCAGGCCAGAACGGGACTTCCGCCAGCAGGACGTCGTTCCTCATCGAAGATATCCTTAGCCGCGGCACCGTCACCCCGCACGTCCACCACCATCAGCTGCACCATCAGCACCTGACGCCGACCTCCGGCCACGGGCAGCACCACCAGTACCAGCAGTTCGCCAGTCTGCTCCCCGGTTATCCCACGGCACCGCCCGCCGCGGCAGCCTTCTTCCTGGGACCGCTCTTCGGTAGCGCTGGCATGGGAGTCGGCGTGGTACCGGGGGTCGGGGAATTGGCCGCTCTCAAGCATTGCCGACGACGGAAGGCCCGAACCGTGAGTACATCCTCGATCTTCCTTCCCTCCTCCGGTGCCTTCCATCTGCATCCGGAGTGGAAATCGAGAAGCCGCGTCCAACTTGTAAATGTTATGGATCGAACACTGTTAAATTCGTGGTGTCAAATTATACTCAATTTGAGTCAACCATTCCTGTAGATCGCCACACTGCTCCCACTCAATATATCGTATAATTTAACTAAATCAATGGAATTAAAATAATACTATTTTGTACTAAAATAATATATTTCGACACACATGGTAGTTGAAAATAACAAAATGCTATTTAACTCAATGTATTGGTTTAAATGTCATCCTTTAATATTTAATTAATAGTGAATAGTCGACTCTCCAAATCGACGATCGTTGGAGCCGGAGCAAAACGCAAATCGGGGTCAAGTCGAATTCGCGTGCAATTATTTACAATTTTACAGCAACGAGGCATATCTGTGATATGCGTTCGTTGCCGAATGAACAATCATCAGGTCGTTCACCTCTCGCTTCTCGCCATTATAGATGCACATTCGCTCTTTTTTAACTATGTACATATGTATTTTTTTTTCTTTTCCCCCTATTTATCTCTCTCGCGACTGTAGGAGACAAGAGTTTGCTTCCTTACGGCTTCAGGTATTCAGCGACCAGCAACTGGCAGGTTTGGAAGCGAGGTTCGAGGTGCAGAGATACCTGAGCACGCCCGAGAGGGTAGAGCTGGCGGCGGCGTTACACCTGTCCGAGACGCAAGTGAAAACGTGGTTCCAGAATCGACGGATGAAGCACAAGAAGCAGCTGAGGAAGCTGAACACGAGCGGTAGCGGCAATTCCAATTCGGGCCAGCAATCGATATCGGTTACGTCGCCCGCTGGTGAGTCGTGTCCATTTCATTTCGGACGATTGTTCGCCTCGACGGAAGCAAAAATGTAAATCGGCTCCGTTGCGCGGTGCGATATGTCGCGAGGGTGGTTTCACGAGAGCGAGAGCAGCTCTAAACGATGCGTTTATGTCGCGCAATTGAACGATACTTATCGTTTGAAAGACATCGCGATCTACGGTATCTACGGAATTTCGCGTCGAGTAGTCTCCGCAACGCATAACTTAATTACCAAAGTAAATGAGCGTATCGACTTTTCGACAAACAGCTGCGAGCAGTATTCCCGCACCGCGAGTTAATTAACTTGGATTAATGGGTATAATGATGCCGTGTCCTAGATAAGCGCCAACTCATGAATGGCCGCGCGTCGCTACGATAAAAAATAATACGCGCGTGTGCACGTATATATAGTCGCTCGTTTACGCGCCGGATCCCGAAAGCTGAATCCGGAAGCTGGATCCTGGGGAGAGGCGTGTAATCTCTTCGGACGGAGTACCGCGTAAGCGTCATAAACGGCGCGCGTATTCGGCTTAATTATAGTAATAGACAGCTACGAATGTGCGGATACGTAATCAAAATGCTAAACAAATACACCGGCACGACGAACGGATCCGGGATTAATCGGTCCATAGTTATCGGTTAATATCTGACCGGAGCGGAGAGCGGAGGAGGCGCGGGATGGCGCGTTATAACGTCGGTTGTCGTTAAATACTTCCCTGTTGTCACGCTAATGGGCGATATCTGTATAATGCAACCAAAATACCGCTGACAATAAATTACGCAAGTTCGGCGTAACTAGCCAGACCGTAACCGTGGTTACGTTGCGAGGAACTATAATCATTAACGGTATCTGCGTATAATGGTTGCATTTCGTCGTAGATATACATATTACCATAATCGCTCACCGTTGACGTTGCATTTATAAATATACGTTATATCAATTTCCTAGAGGAAAACTCGTCGCAGTGGTGTCGTTGTTCCGAGCAATTTATGTTTTACTTTCCGTTTTCAATAACGCGATGCGTTGTACAATAATTATTTAAAAGAAAATTCGCCACCTTAGTGTCGTTACTTCGAGCGATTTATATTATAGGTATTCGTTTTCAATAACGCCTTACAATTGTTTAAA